CAGTCAGACTAACTCATATCTGGTTTTTGTGTACCACAAACTTGTACATTTTACTACTTGCCAAATTTCCTGTAGATACACGTAGTAAATACTGAATTGTATTTATTATTCTTTCTCCAACGGATCAACCCTGTTCAATCAGCTCAGAAATAGGAACAGTTTATCGTTCTTTCTGTGGATTTGCGCGGAAGATCTTCAACAAACAAGAAGAAAAGCATTGTCCATCTTTTACTAGATTCAAGTGGCGTGGTACGTATTATGTTGTTTTTATTTTGTTTCGAATGTGTAGCTTACTTATTACTATTTTTCTCCTTCAAAGTAACGTTCCATCAATGAGCATATTTATGGAGTACAAAGTGAGTAACTGGAACCACGACTATTTAACCTATTTCTCGAAGTCACTTTTAATTCTTTCGATTTCCTTGTTTATCGGGTTATGCGACCTATAACTCCTAATTTTCATGTTACCACTTTCATTGAAAAATCAAATGAATACAACTTACTTTTAATGTATTGGATTTATAGATTACTCGTTCTGGCAGCTCCTGCGACCGCGTTGACACCAAACTGTATCAGCACTGCTCTTCCTTTGGCCCCGTCATCAAGGTGGAAAGGGGGGGCAAGTTGCGTGGGCAACAACCTGTCCCCCATATCAGAATGCCCAGGCTTACATCCGTCCATATCATCACTTATTAGAGCGCAGCGCCAGGGGTTGCTTCCGACGGTGGGAGAGATCTTCGTGTCTCACTGGACAGCTACCGTCCACCTCGAACTGGTCAGTCCCCAGCCAGTAAGGTGTTGTCCCATCATGGTCTGCCTTCTTCATTGGGTGTATGGAGATTAGGAAAATACTTTCCGACAAACAGATCATCAACTACCACACCAAAGATGTTTGTGTACAGCGCCTGAGTCCTCAGCACCCTTCTATATGGCAGCGAGACGTGGACTACTTATGCCAGCCAAGAGAAAAGACCGAATACCTTCCACCTCAGAAGCCTGAGACGAATACTTGGTGTCTCCTGGCAAGACAAGGTAACTAACACTGATGTCTTGTCTCGTACGAACCAGTCTACCATGTAAACTCTGTTACGACAGCGCCGGTTGCACTGGATAGGCCACGTGCGCCGTATGAAGGATGGCCGAATCCCAAAAGACATCCTCTACGAGAGCTTGCCGAAGGACAGAAAGGCATCGACCGCCCGCAGTTGAGATACAATGATATTTGCAAAAGAGACATGAAGGTGCTCAACATCAACACCGAAACTTGGGAGGACATCGCTGCCGATCGCGCCGACTGGAGAAACACTCTCCGTAAACAGCTGAAGATCGGTGAAGAGGAATTGACGGTGGCGGCAGAAGAGAAGCGAGCGCATCAAAAGGAACAGGCAGCCAACAGACCAGCGGGACTGTCACTCTCGTGTCTCCTTAGTCACAAGAGACGCTGCTCTAGACGAGCGATCAACATGGACGGATGTTCATGCATGGTCAAACCTGGCCGAAGGAGGCCTACAACAATAGATTACGAGAAAGTATTAAATATTAAATGCTTTAGCAACAATAGACGTCAATCTAACGTACATCGAAATGTTAAGAGATATATATACAGACGCAACAGCAAAACTACATCTTAATAAAGAGGTATCATCAGTGATAAAGATAGAGAGAGGGGGTGATCCAATATCTCCGAAACTGTTTACAGCAACTTTGTAAGAAGTATTCAGACAAACTGAATTAGAGAATGAAGGTATAAAAATAGCTGGAGAGATATTAACAGATCTAAGGTTTCCAAATGATGTAGCTCTCTTTACAAATTCAACGAAAAAGATGGAAGTCATATTAAACAGTTTGAATGCCAGTAGCAAGAAAGCAGGATTAAAAATACATAAGGGAAAAACCAAATATATGACCAATTATTCACGACACAGATACCATCAAAATTGAGAATGAAGAAGTAGAGATAGTGTCAGAGTACAAATATTTAAGACAAACCCTCAAATGGAAAACACAACAAGGGAAGAAATTATGGTAAGAATGAAGACAACATGGCGATGTTTTGGAATGTTTTAAGAAATTCTAAAGGATCAAGATATCCCATTACTTTGAAGAAAAAGCTCATGGATCAGTGTGTACTACCAACCTTAACATATGGTGGCCAAACGTGGGCACCAACAAAAGAGATAAGGAAAAAAGAAAGAAGCCACACCAAGAGCTATGGAAAGAAAAATACTTCATATAACACTACAAGATAGATGGAGAAATGATGGAATAAGAAAAACAACAAATATAATAGATGCAGTAAGGTTCATTCTAAGAACTAAATGGAAATAGGCTGGACATGTAGCAAGGTATTCTGATAATAGGTGGACATTAAGAACAATGGAATGGCAACCTAGGACAGGGTAAATATCTAAGGGAGGGCAAAAGAGAAGATGGAGGGACGATATAGTGGCAGAAACGGGAATCAGATGAACACAGGATGCTAAGAATAGGAAATACTGGACTGGTCTGACGGAGAGCTATATCCAACGAGGGATGACTGCAGCTTAGATAGATATGTATAGTGGTTCAGCAATAAGTCTGACGGCTTTTAATGCTAAAAGTTCTTTGTGCTTAACAACAAATAAATAAATAAAATTAAACACGTGAGTGTGGCAACATATGAAAATGGATAAATATTTAATAAGACGATTGTAGACTGACTACGGAGAATAAGACAATTTTCGTGTTACTGATAATGAGTCGGATTGTAACCTCACTGGAGAAGAAGTGGCAGATCGGACGGAATATACAGCTAGTATCCCTTTAAACATACTTATTTACTGTTAAACTTCATCCGTACCGCTACTTATTTACTATTATTGTTACTGTTAAACTTCACCCGTACCGCTACTTATTTACTATTATTGTAACTGTTAAACTTCATCCGTACTGCTACTTATTTACTATTATTGTTACTGTTAAACTTCATCCGTACCGCTACTTATTTACTATTATTGTTACTGTTAAACTTCATCCGTACCGCTACTTATTTACTATTATTGTTACTGTTAAACTTCATCCGTACCGCTACTTATTTACTATTATTGTTACTGTTAAACTTCATCCGTACCGCTACTTATTTACTATTATTGTTACTGTTAAACTTCATCCGTACCGCCACTTATTTACTATTATTGTTACTGTTAAACTTCATCCGTACCGCTACTTATTGACTATTAAACTTCATCCATACCGCCACTTATTTACTATTATTGTTACTGTTAAACTTAATCCGCACAGAAGTGTTTCATGCTAAACTTCTAAATGTAAAATGTCTTTTATTACTGTTCATTCTTAAAGGATACTTTCCTGCAAAGAAACATACATAAACATACATTTTAAACACGTAAGAAATTTATAAACATGAAATTACGAATTACCTTATAGTTCTTGTTCTCCTGAAATGCTTGGATAATACATTGAAAGTTTTGGACATGTATTTCTATCTGTCTGTTTGTGGTTATGTATATTTCACGTTTATTCGACACTTTGTCGAGATTCATTTGCTGTTGTAAAACCACAACTTGGAGTTCAAAACCTGCAAATTTGTACACAAGCCTTCTTCCCCATCCTTAACTGTTTACCACTCCGATGATCTACTCACAGCTAAGAAACTGCAATATGAAACCCAATTAAAAATGTTTAAAGATTTGATCTCATCATGTAGAGTATAAACAAGTAAACCTTAAACTACTCATAACTGTTTAACAAACAGTAACCTATTTTGCTGAGAACAAATTTATTCCAGATTCTAATATTTCCAAATATCTGTACGTTAAAACTTTCCACTTTACTTCATGCATCAGGAATATCAACCTTTCTCAATAAGATACGTTTAGCTCTGAAATACGTACTTTTTTCATGTAAGAACTGAGTAAATGAAATGCTAAAAGCAGAGCAAAAGAGAACAAGAATTTATTACTTGTATGTTAGAGAATATATGACACTGCCAGTATGATGAGAAGTTTCTGACAATAAGCTGTTTCACTATCTATATCATATTGTTGGTAGTTGACATACTTCGAAAGTTAAGGTGACTAGTAATGAAAACACACGAGTTTACGACAAGTTTGAAAGCATGTGTTTCTATTGAAACCAGTATTGACGTTTTTATAGTGGTTTTAGCTGTTACCACGTAACATTCTTTGACGTAACAACTATAACGAAAGTTCCTATAGAAATGATGACACAACTTTCGGAAAATATCATTGTTGCTTTTTTTTTCTTTCAGTTAAAATTATATGTCAAATGTCCAAACTATTTGTGTGAACAGCAGTTTACACAGCTGTTGAAATGTTCTTGTTCAGTAGAATCACAATAATCAAATATGGTAGAATACATAAATAACACTCTTAAAAAGTTTCATTAAAATATGTTTAATACAAAACAGTAAGGCATCTGTACATTTGTCTTCATAGTATACATGCAATAATATAAGAGAGACAGTATCAAACAAAGTAAATACATAAAACGTATTTCAAGCGGCTTAAGCAAATAGAATCACCGGTAAAAAAACTGTAGCAACGTTGTTTGTTCACTTTTTATTAATTTCAAGCAGTAAATTATCCAGTATTTTAAAACACTTCACATTTGCATGTAAAGTTATTGGAATACAAGTAAGTGGCGAATTTTGTTCTTGTATCCTTAAAAGGTTCCCTTGAAATTGTTAGTAAGTTTATAAAGGCATCTCAAGATGGTGGAAGTTAAAGGGAGAAACGTTTTAAGAGAATCATGAACAAGTCGAATATGAATATCAAAAAACGACAGAACCGGTCGTGAGGTTTAATGACTTTCTATCAGGGCCTTCTCGGCCTCGAGGACTTTCTGTTGCTCCTTCAGAACCATCTGTTCGTCCATATTATGTTTATGAAGGGCAGTATTGTGGTGTAAAGCGGAGTAATAGTGACCAGGGTGGTAGTAACCAGCGTAGTGATGACCAGGGTAGTAGTAACCAGGGTGATAGTAACCATGGTGGTAAGCGGTAGGATTCTTGGCAATTACTTCAAGCTCACGAGCTCTATGAAGCTGGAGATCCGGTACCTGTTGTAGGTTTATGTAATGGAGAGCTTGCTGCTGTAGAGCCTGCAGGTAGGCCGGGTCGTGTTGACCTTCTGGAACATTGTAGGGGAATATCCCCGCCAAAGAAACAGTGCAGACACAAGCAAGAACTACCTAGTGGAAAATACAAAACACTGGCATTGTAAAGTTGTATAAGGCTAGAATTTCGTAAAGAAATATTTTATTAAAATCTTTCAACCATTTATTACATAAAAATATATAAACTACTACAAACAATGTGAGAATCAAACAGTCGAACTTAATCAAAATGAACTAAAATATACCCAAAAGAAACAGTGGCATTTGTACGGAAAACTTTAGCAAGAATTTTGGAGGATTTTAGAAACAGAAACTAATTTCTAATTGTATTCGTTTTCAAACTTAACAGTCTTCTTAATAAAACTGTGAAACGTTCTCATTAAAAAATGAAACCAATACTATGAACATGCTCACGTTCCTTTGTAAGAGATTCCAACAGTTCATTATAGACAGAAGTGACAGTTTATTAATTTTATCTGTACTCACTAATCTTTAAACACGTGAGTAAATTAGATATTCTTCATGTGTATATATTTTAGAAGAACGAGGGAATTTAAAGTAAACTATTGTCGCCTTTATTTAGTAGAGGGTATTTACTAAATTCAACATTTAAACACGATACAACAAGTTTAAAACGTACACATTGTGACATCCATAACGGTAATGTTTGCTAGGATCAAAGAGTTTTGACAACACTTACCAATCGCATCATCTTTGTGGTGATTGAATGTAGAATCAACAGCTACCTTAATAAGGAAATCTGTACCAACAACAGAACCTCGATACACACTCTGGAAACTCTTCTGGCTTTTATACTCTCTTGTTCATGGTCATTTCTCAGAAGTAAACCATAGATGTCCTTCCTAACTTTGTCATCGAGGGTTATTAAGAAAGATGACCTTGCAGAGGAACCAAACAAGTTGATCTTTACGTCAAGTTACACTTTTTACAAGACTCCACCCATGGCCTGTACCTAGAGGAAATTTTATGAATATACCATGTGAAGTATTAGGGCGCTGAAATAAATATTTAACCTATTTAACCAACACTAAGCTAAACTCCAGACTTACTATACATAATGTTATACGTTAAGTTAGAATATTCATCACGTAATCCTGGACTTTCTCTTGTTGTCAGCCTGTTCAAGTTAAATCTTTACATATACTAGTATCTTAACCAGTGATGATATGAACTATAGGCCACTACCAACCTCAGATCATCTAGAACAAGTCTAAGAAAGTCACCATCTCAAAATACAGAAAATAAAATCATATCTTGATAAATAACACCTGTAAGCACACTACATTGAAACATACAAAATATGTTTCGATTAACGCTGGGAAACTCACCACTCAATACCTAGTAATCTTTTTCGTTTGACGTTTTTTAAATGATTCAAATATTGTCGTAAAACTACAACAAGGAAACCGAGGTTGTATTTCAACTAAAGATAAAATGGTTCACTTTTACTTAAACTTTGAGTATAACATTTGTATTATATGCCTTGTACTATAAATACATTTGTAAACAAACCATGTACGGGTATTATAAACATAAAAATTGTAATTTCTTGCAAAAGAACACATCAAATATTTCAATTAGTTGATTTCATTCAAAGAACTAGCTAGAAAATTTTCAATACAGAGTTGTACATTTGCACATATGTGCAAAGTCACATTTTACAATATTCTCTTTTCTATTTATAATTTTTTATATTAATGAAACCGAATAAAATCTTTCATTCTACAGTTTAGTTCAATATCCTACTTGGTTTAAGTTCTTGTAATGAAATGTGAGCTGTAACGTACAGTACAGTTTAGTTCAGTATCCCACTTGGTTCAAGAACTAAACTGTACTGTACGTTACAGCTCACATTTCATTACAAGAACAATATCCTACTTGGTTAAAGTTCTTGTAATGAAATGTGAGCTGTAACGTACAGTACTGTTTAGTTCAATATCCTACTTGGTTCAAGTTCTTGTAATGAAATGTAAGCTGTAACGTACAGTACAGTTTAGTTCAATATCCTACTTGGTTAAAGTTCTTGTAATGAAATGTGAGCTGTAACGTACAGTACTGTTTAGTTCAATATCCTACTTGGTTCAAGTTCTTGTAATGAAATGTAAGCTGTAACGTACAGTACAGTTTAGTTCAGTATCCTACTTGGTTAAAGTTCTTGTAATGAAATGTGAGCTGTAAAGTACAGTACAGTTTAGTTCAGTATCCTACTTGGTTAAAGTTCTTGTAATGAAATGTGAGCTGTAACGTACAGTACACACACAGTTTAGTTCAGTATCCTACTTGGTTAAAGTTCTTGTAATGAAATGTGAGCTGTAACGTACAGTACACACACAGTTTAGTTCAGTATTCTACTTGGTTCAAGTTCTTGTAATGAAATGTGAGCTGTAACGTACAGTACACACACAGTTTAGTTCAGTATCCCACTTGGTTCAAGTTCTTGTAATGAAATGTGAGCTGTAACGTACAGTTCAGTTTAGTTCAGTATCCTATTTGGTTAAAGTTCTTATAATGAAATGTGAGCTGTAACGTACAGTACAGTTTAGTTCAGTATCATACTTGGTTAAAGTTCTTATAATGAAATGTGAGCTGTAACGTACAGTACACACAGTTTAGTTCAGTATCCTACTTGGTTCAAGTTCTTGTAATGAAATGTAAGCTGTAACGTACAGTTCAGTTTAGTTCAGTATCCTACTTGGTTAAAGTTCTTATAATGAAATGTGAGCTGTAACGTACAGTACAGTTTAGTTCAGTATCCTACTTGGTTAAAGTTCTTATAATGAAATGTGAGCTGTAACGTACAGTACAGTTTAGTTCAGTATCCTACTTGGTTAAAGTTCTTGTAATGAAAT